TTTTTTTTTTTTACTAAAAGTAAGAATTTTTTTATGAGAAATCATTAACTTATGGATAAATATTTAAAGTAGGAAAAATTTAAGTTCAAACATTCATAATAAATTAAAGTGATTTACAGTCAAACTTCCTTTTACGTTAAAGGGGTAGAAAAACTTTTAAGGAATTTTGTATGAAATTTTGAATGTAAAAATAAAATGATCTGACGAATTCGTAGAAACGCCAACTCGCTTTAGACATTCATAGAAAATTGTTGTGAATCTATGCTCAATTTTTTTTTTCATTACATTAATAACAAATTGTTATGGGCCTTATGTTACATTTTTAAATATTTTTAAATTATGAATAATATTTACCGACAACTAAAAAAAAAAAATTATGTAATCGAAAATTTCTCATGCCCATAATTGGTTAAATTCGATGAAAATGTTTAGTACCTGTCTACCTCATCTATCTTATTATTTTTAGAGTTACACCAGAAAATGCAAATTTATTAACCAATCATAAGAAGCAAAATTCGTGTGCTCAGTTGGCCAAAATTTAKAAAAGATGTCATTATACSGTKYTATTTTATCATGCACACACTAATGTTCATTTACTACTTTTTCGTATAAATATAGTCTAAATGTACATGTCATATGAATTGCCTATATATTACTCCTTAATCCATGATACGATTTTATCTCTACAAAATCTCTAAATATTTATGGATTATTTGATCATCATTCTGGACTGCAGAAATTCTTAAACTGTGGTTTGMGCGACCCAAAARCGGGTCACATTTAGTTTTAGTGACTCGTGTTAAATTTTGAAATGTACTGCGTTACTCTTTTTTTCAAGTAACTCATGTCAAGTATTTACTTTCTTTCTAGAGCACGATTTCTTATTGAAAAATTTGTAAAATTATTTTTGCATATTGTATATTTATAAATGCAAAATAAAAATATTAATAATTTTGTATTATAAAATATTAGATATTAAAATATTAGTTTACTACGAACTTTGAAAATTATACATTATAATAAATTGAATAAAAAGAAAAAATGTATTTATAAATATTTGTATGTGTATGTTTTATGTTAATTACTTGGTATTAATTTCCGAATTTAGTTTTAGTGAAGATTGCGTGTAGGTACCTTTTAATATTGTGACGTGTGACTACGACGCTGATAGACTTAAAGTTTAACGCAAAGAAAAAATTACAATGAAATAAACAAATTGATCCACTTAAAAAACTAATGATTTACAGTACATATTATATATACTTACTTTTTTAAAATTATAAATGTTTATTTTTTTTTTCATTAGATATAATAAAATCGAAAACAAGCCATAAGTATTGCGTATGTCGTCAAAGTACAAAAAAATTATCAAAATGAGTCGTACCTTTAGAAGTTCGGAAACTTTAGTTGTAGAAAATCGTTAATAGTTGGYTACCATGTTTGCAATTTATAGCGAGATTGTAAATAAAGTATTATAAGCAGGCAAAAAACAAAAAATTGATTTACTWATTTTTCCGAGTACAATAATAATTTTTGTATATTACTCTAGATAATGTTTTTAAATTAACAATAATTGATTTAAAATCCTTAAATAATAATTATGATTTTAATGATTAGAGTGCATGTTAAAAAATCAATCTCATCCCTTCCCATGACAATAATCATTTAACCATAAACGGTGTCTGCTGTCTATAAAGAAAATTGTGAAAGGTATTCACCAAACTGCTTATAATCTGAAAATGGTCGAAAATCATTTATAGATGTGTTATCTGGTGGATGAGTTTTAGCTAGCTTGACTATCGCGTTCTATAAGCAATTTTTCACGCAGTTTTTCCTATGCCAACGATGGAGGCGACAGATGGCGTTATCGTTACCAATTGACGAAAGATTTTATACAATTTTTCTTTACAGATTTATTTTATATTATAACAATTATATAGTGGTATTTATACTACGGTTATGACCGATGTCCAAGTCAGCAGAATATGTTTACATTTATTTGACATTTTATTCATTTACACAATATACTTAACTATATATGTGTAATGTGTATGCTATGATCAGTGGCGACGAGCTCTAAAAAAAGTACTATTGTAAAATGTATTTTCAGAAGGTACCACATACCAAAAATATTCAACCCAAGGTTATTATTATACTATCATATTACTTTATGATACTATCTACATTATATAAGCAGCCTTAAGGTCCTTATGGTCATTAGGGGCTAATCTCTTAGGACCACCCTCCCCATTTAAAGCATTTAATGCTAAAAATACTCAATATATGCTTGACCAGATGCAACTTATTGCCTATCACTTACCTACACATCATCATTTAAAAATTACAAAAATYAGATTTTGGATAAATTCATTGAGCATGCTTGGCGAATCACTCTGTATAAGTTCAAAAAACTCGATATTAATTATAATTTAAATTAAGACTACTAGTTAATAAGCATAATATCGAACTAAGTTTGTGAATTCGTTCATTTTATTTTTAAGAAAATTCTTTTTTGATTTTCACATTTTTATTTTTTAATTAAAGTTCATTWATAAATAACCTTATTAGTCCTTTATTTTAATACAATTTATTATCTTAATCTTACCACAATGGTTCTTTAAATTTCAAACTAATTAGATGTTTTACAGTCGGTGCCCAGTGGCATATTATTCATTTTTGTTATTTTTAAAAGAATATAATTTTTTATATGACACGTCAATTATAAAGAAAACATTTCATTACAAGAATGTAACATTTGTTTATGTTAACCGTAAAATTAAAAATTATTCATTTTTACGTTTATAGGTATTCACTTATTTATGCATTTAGTATTTAATTTATACGTATAATATTAAAAAAAAATTAAASAAATTAAACAAAAGTTCGAGTTATCTTTCGCTAATTATCGAGTTTTTATCACATTTTTATCGACGGGTTATATTTTATACCAACATTCATTATTTATTATTTTAATCATTGTTGATTTCATYTTTTGGGGATAAATAAGCAAGAGTGGTGACTAATACATTTTGGATCTGTAATTACAATTGATACAAATTGTGC